ATGATATTTAACTGTAGTTTACTGTGAGAAAATATGGAATGAGACACTTCAAGAAAACGTTTTTGTTCGTAGTATTTATGTCAGAAAGGCCCATTATGTCGGGCAATTTAATTAATTTTTTTAAGTTTTTTTCTTTTAACTTTTTGTGATAAGTTTGGTAATGAACACTGCAGCAAGAATTGTAGTTACAACTTTCTTTTAAACTTCAATGTGTGTTGATGTTGGATTCATTTTACTAAAATGTTTTAACATAACAGCAAATGAATGCATGGTTTCCATACTATACCAGGATTGCAAATTAGTTCAATGGTCTTTTAAACAACCCCACAATAAAATGTGTTCCACTTTCATTGCATAAAGCAAATGTTGAAATCTGCCAAGTGAACAGACACAGAATTTGTGAATGATTTAGGAATTCTGGAAACAGAAAAGTATATTGATCTAACAGTCTGGCATGAAGAAAAAGAAGTATGGTGTCTACATCACTGGTTCAAATGTTACATTAATTTTGCAATGACAGGAACTGACAAAGAACTGCCAGTCCAACTTACTTGAATTTAACTAGTGCAATGTGTAAAGATGTTGCCTTGTAACATTGCAGAGTAAAAAAAGGGGGTTTACTGAAAGATATAACAACAGATGTGAGAGTATCTGTAGTAACTGAGCACATTGCTAAACTTGTATTTATAAATATTAGTGAATTATAACTAACAAAGTGGAATGCAGAAGAGTATGCTAGAGTGTTCATAGAAAAGCTACTTACACAAGATCTAAGCACTGAGTGAAAGTTATTGCTAGAGTATAAAAACTAAAAGTACTTCTATTTGAAACTCCCCACCATACCCTTCTGCAGGAGTTAGGAACGTTTTCAGTATATGACACATTACTTCACTGGTATACAAAATATTCACTTCTTTTTGACATTTCTCCACTACATAGTGCTGAACTAGTTTAAAACAGCAAGTATTTGGTTGATTTTTGGGGTTTATTGGTGCAAAGCAGCATGGCTATCTGCGCCACAAGTATTTGGACTTCCTAACAATATACACTAAACTTAACTCTGTTTTGGTTACTGTTAAGGTATTCTAACAATTCTGTAACATATTCAGAATTTTTTAAATAGTTAAATTACCATCTACAAGCTTTCTGTAGTGTAAAGATTTATAAGGGCTAGACATTCTTCTAACCACTATTTTTCTTGAAAGTAAAAGATTAGCTGAAAAACAAAATTAATTTTTAACCCATGGCTACATAATCTATTTGAATTATTATTAAGCAAAAAATGAGATTACAAATTACAGTTTAAATATCAAAAGCTGGCAAACTACTAAAATCCAATAAACCTAAAAAATGTTATAAAAAATTTGCAGTTAACTTGATCTTATAACAAAAAATGAAATTCCCTGGTAGCAAAATTAATGAATTTTCTAAACACGTTCTTAGGGGTCCACAATTTATTTTAATTGTTACTATAAACTAACATTAGCACTTGTGTGTATAGTTTTCTCTACAGTGATACTGATATATCAAGATTTTGCATCAAAATTATCAAACTTTACTAAGAAACTTTGAAATTCAATACTATATCTCAAATTATATTTTGTTGTTTGTACGCATCTAGAAAACTGAACTAAAAACCCTCTGTTACAATATTTGAAGTGATGATTCTAAATGAACATCCCCTTATTAAATTTTAACAAGTATTTTTGTAATTTTGTTTTTCTGATGTTAGTGAGATCCTGATTTAATTTAGCAATTTTTCTTGTACCATTCAAATAACAGTATTCCCTTTGTCCAATTTATATAGGACAATATACTGATTCTTATCAAGATTTTTTCAACACCTGAATTTCTTCCTTAACTCAAACACATAAGGCAGAAAACACATGTCTTCAACAAGCACAACCTTGTTTCACCTTTGCAAGATACCAAGTCTATTCCTAGGTCAGTATCTTCTTCTTTATCCTGATAGCTTTCATGAAATTGTCTGGTTCTATTTTGGGTTATGGGAAGAATTTCAGATGTTATAAAAGTCAGACTATTTCACATTTATAATTTCCTGAGACACATGTAGATGTATAAAAAACTGTTGGGTTTGTTGAACTGATTGTGTGTTGCTACAATAGATTTTCATCTTTATTTCATGTTTAATGGTGTCTGACTTGTTAATTTCTAGTTAGATTACTCAAACAAGCAAAAATGATACATATTTTATAGTAGCTTCACATTCTAAGAAAATTTACAGAAAAGTGGAAAAGCATTTCTGAACAATTTGCGAGAAAAATGGTTTTGGAAGGGTTTGAAGACCAACCAAGAACCACTGACAAGATCCACAACAACATGGCAAAACATACAAATCTGATGAATGGGGGAAAGTAGCAGTAACTTAAGTGCTTCCAACTTAACAGTACAAATGCATTCTGATTAAATAATTCTTTAAATGCAAAAGCAATACTGACATTGATGGAGAACCAATACAAAAAAGTTAACTGTCCAGGTATTTACATATTGTTATTACTTGACAATTACTGATTTGTTTTCCATTATATTTAACATAAATCCCCCCCCCCAAACCAAATAATTTTTTAACATTTATTTGTGATCATTAGCTTTCAAGGATTTGAGGATTTTAAAAATGAGCTTCGTTGACTACACAACATGCTATACCATACTTGTCACTTTACCAAACATTTTTCTTGTCAAAAAATAAACATATGCACATGTTCTTATAAAAAAAAACAGGTAAATTTATGGAAAT